CTTCGCAAGCAGGGTCGTAAATTTTGCCGTGCGTCTTTGACAGCGGGGCCGGAGCCAGTGCCGAGCGCGCCTTCCCCCCGCCGCCCGCACAAAGGCCGGCTCCGGCCCCGCTGCCCCTGCCGCCCCTGCCGCCCTGCCCGCTCCTGCCCTGCCCGCCGTCCTTGCTCGCCCGGGACTCGCAGCCCGGCGCGGGGCTGCGGGGGACCTCAGACGAATCCAGCCCCCCAAGCGGGCATGCCGGCTTTCGAGTCCCGGATCAATAGCCCGGAGTAGGGGAAAGTAGGATTTGTGTTTTTATACAAAGCCACTCCCTGTAAACTCCATAGAATATGGACAACGAGTCTGAGATTTCTCTGTGAAATCCCAATCATCTGGAAATACCTTCTGCAAACAGGATATTCTTTATTATCCCTTGCTGGAGTAATTTCTAAAAAAACCTAGATTGTAGCTTTTTATTGCTTCCGTTTCGGAGGCAGGACAGAGACAAAGTTTCCTATGTTATGAATTATACATTCAAACAATAACACATTAATTCAATTATTCAAAGATGACAAATGTTTATGTGCTTTGCTAGTGACTAAGGAACAGATTTGCTACTTCACGAGGACTCCTACGTTTTTATCAATGAAGTTTTATATTATCCTATTGGGCCGGGAAAGAAACCAAACTCCACCAAGACAAGCAGTAAAATGGACCTGAACATAAATCGTAGCCCTTTCATAAGAGCGTTTATTCTCGCATATAGCCCGGGCTATTTTATCAGTTTGACAATTGCCGGAGTTGTTGTTATAAATCATCATAAGTAATTCCTGAAAGGGTATGAGGCTGCTGGGGGGCGGGCGGAGACTGTAAATCTTTCTGTTTTATTGCTCTATGAACATATGCTCCGATTGAAGAAGTCTTAGATCCTTACTGGAGACAAATTCGCGCAAAGCTGGAGTCCCACCAGCCAAAGGATTAACATTTCCTTAATACTTTTTCAGTCCCCTTTATGATGTCTTAATTCTGGTGGTGGCGAAGGTGCTTCTTTCTTTGAGCCGTCCCCTCCATGCTCACGTTAAATTTTTTCGTCTTTTTTTTTTTTTTTTTTTTTTTTTTCCGTCCCTATACTCTGAAAAGACACCCTAGGGCTGTGAGGCTTTTTTCCAGGGGGTTCCGAACCGTCCTCCGAAAAGACGTTTTCTTCTGAATCCTCTTCGTGCTCTTTGCTCGTGTCCAGCTTCTCCCTCGCACTTTTGTGTAGGAAGTGAAAGACCTCTCCGTCATCCAAAATGTCTAAACAGCGGCCAGAATTATGTTCGGCTTTGTGTGTATGTACACAAGTATGCAGAACACGCTGTGCGTGTAGGGGTTGCTGTATGTACACACAGACACGCGAGCGCGGGGGGCTCGGCAAAACTACCCAGACACCGAAATATATGGCTGACGGAAAAGGATATAAAGAACCATTACCTCTTACTTGAGGCGAGATTTAAGTGCATCATTTCGAAGAAATATAGGATTATAAATCCGAAGCCGTACACAATAATTTACATTGAACTTATGTTTCCATCACTGGACTCCAATCTTTTTATAACTGGTTTGCAAAGTCAGGAAAAGCAATGTAATTTAGATAAATGTTACAATGCACTTATGGTTAGTATTGTAAGGTAATACGTTACTGTCACATCCCCATGCTTTGGATGGTAATGAAATCATAGCAGATGTTAGATTAGGTGTGGTGTATTTATAGCTACAGATATGTTAGAAAAATCAGAGGAGCTAATATATGTGTGTACATATATATATATATATATATATGCATATATATATATATATATTTTGCCGAACTGGAATTGTTAGGGAGCTTTGTGGGCACACATGACGGATATACACCGGGTTTGTTCTATGTCTCTTCATACACACAGAGAAGGGAGGCAGGATCAGGGCAGACACACACACGCACAAATGTCATAAGGATTTTTTTCCCAGTGCTTGTTCAGCCTCCAGACGGGTAGTCCCCGCTGCCCCGCATCTTCCCGGTACGGAGAAAGCAAAAATTCGCGCACACCAGTGGGCCCCAGCGCCTGTCCGCCAGAGCAGCGCTGCTGCGGAGCTGCCCCCGGCACAGGCCCTCGGCCGCAGCGAGTCCCAAATACCTCCTCTGTCTCCGCTGGGAATTTCTGCGCCCTGGGATCATCCCGCGGAATTCACCTTTTCCCGGGCTCCGCCGGCCCCGCGGGGCGCGTAAGTGCGGGCGGCGCGGGCGCGGTGCGGAAGGAGCGCGGGCTG